ATTGTCCAGAAACTGCTGCAGGCTAGTAGGGGCACAAGCCGTGGGAATGCTCACTGAGGGGGGAGGTGGAAAGGAGAATACAGACCTAATTCATATTCATAAAATGAAAAACAAAAATTTTAACCCTTCAAAATTCTTTGCCCCTCTTGCCCTGGCCGTGGTCCTGAAATGCCATTTCCCACCGAAAAGAGCCAGGGCCGTGGAGGAGATGGCTGACTCGTGACCTTGGGCAGGAATTGTACCAGACAACCTGGACTGTCCTGTACCAGATAGCAAGGGAGCTGTCACAGAGACTAGAGTGTGTCAAAAGGACCCGACCAAGGAGATGCCCACGGGCCACAGGGCAATGTGAGCATCAGGAAGAACATAAGACTAATAATTGTATCAGGTACAAATACATCAAATATATTGAAATTCATGAGTTTATAATAATGGTGGGTAGAAAACTAAGCCATCTGCATTGGAAGGAAACTAGTGAACCGATGCATTGTTTTGAAGACTGGTAAATAAAGGGAAAGAATGGAGCATTTATCCTGCCTCTCCTGTGTGATAACCTCAATCACTGAGTAGCCAAATAGTAGATGGGGCTAAGTTTTTTTTATAAAAGTGTCCCAGCTAATAAACAAAGGTGGAACCATCACATTGGCGTGTGGCCGGCTGAAGCCCCTGGTGAATTAGTGGGTCAGCAGCTGCTAGCGCCACCTGCTGAGACACCCAAGCTCACTCGCCTCCCGTTGGTAGACCATAACACCGCCCGTGAACTCGTCATGCCAAAACACCCCAAGCCAGAATCTCCTCTCATGCCAACCTACAGGAAGTACAAAGTAAGGAGGAACATATGAAGTACACCATGGGGACGCCATCAGCGAAATCCAGACTGCAGAAAACGCTGTAGAGAAAAATGACCCAGTTTCTTCAACAAATAAAATGGGGGGTGGGAGTAGAGATGGGGCGCCTTTAGTTTAGGAGAGCCTCGTGAGACATGTCAGCCAATCACATTGTGTGGGCTAGATTTGGATCTTGGCACAAGCAAACTTTTTTAAAAGCGGCATTTATGAAACTGTTGGAAATCTGAACCCTGACCACTTGAGTTTTGATAACACTGAAGAATTCTTGTTGCTTGAGATGTGGGATGGCATTGTAGTCTTGCATTTTTTTGTTTTGAGAGTCCTTTTAGAGACACAGAAGGATATGTTTACAGATAAAATGATGATACAATGGCTGTTATTTGTTTCGATGTAACACAGGAAGGGAAAAGTAGGTGGGGGTGGAGGTGAAACGGGATTTGCCAAGAGCTGTAGTTGTTGAAGTTTGGGGCGGCGGTCTGGGGAGGTTCCGGTTTCGTTTACTTTTGTGTATGTGTTTAAATATTTCATAATCAATAGGTTAGGGGCGCCTGGGTGGCTCAGTCGGGTAGGTGTCCAACTCCTGATTTCCACTCAAGTCATGATCTGAGGGATGTGGGATCAAGCCTGGCATCGGGCTCCATGCTCAGCGGAGAGTCTGCTTGAAGATTCTCTTCCTCTGCTGCTCCCCCCACTCACACGCGCACACTGTCCCTCTCTAGAATAAATAAATCTTTTTATAAATTTTTTAGATACATAAATGGGTTAAAGAAATTAATTAAATTGCTCCTTCCAGGAGGGGGTTGGATTTTACTTTGTTTTGATTTAATGGTACCTGTTACTGACAAGAGAGAAGTGAAATAGGTACATTTGTACCTTTATAGCTGGCATAAATAACCCTTATGGCTCACGTTGGCAGATTGCATCAGAAGACTTTCAATATTTGTACTGTTGGCCCCAGTAATTACAGTTGTACAAATCTATCTTCAGGAAATAATCCCAAGCACAGCGAAAGCTTGGTGAACAGAAGTGCACATTGTAGGCATATTCATATTAGGGAAAACTTGGAAGCAACTCATGTCCAGCAATAGGAGAATGGTTAAAGAAATTATAAATATATCCACTCAGTAGAGTGCCAGGCAGCACATACTGCCACTTTTGAAGACTGCACGGCAATAAAGAAGTGGCTCAGTCGTTGAGCGTCTGCCTTTGGCTCAGGTCATGATCCCGGGGTCCGGGGATCGAGCCCCGCATCGGGCTCCCTGCTCCGCAGGAAGCCTGCTTCTCCCTCTCCCACTCCCCCTGCTTGTGTTCCCTCTCTTGCTGTGTCTCTTTCTAATGAATAAATAAAATATTTTTTTTAAAAAAAACTGCTTACATCATAATTTTAAATAAAAATTTGATTTGAAATTAAGTATATAGTTTCGGTTGTAACCATGTTAAAAATTCAGAAACAGTAGATCATTTTTCCCCCAGTTTTATTACAGAGTAATTGATTTACACCACTGTATAAGTTTAAGGTGAACAGCACAGTGGTTTGTGTGAAATGATGACCACAGTAGGTTCAGCCAACATCCATTTTCTCCTGTAGATTCTGTAGGAAGAAGAGAAAAGGAAAAAAATTTCTCCTTGTCACGGGAACTTGTGGGATTTGCTCTGCGCACAACTGTCCTCACACCTGTAGCAGTGCTGGATGTGGTCAGCATCTGCGCATCGAATCCCCAGAACGCATTTCTCTCGTAACGACGTTTGAGTCTTTTGGCCCCCTTCTTCCAGTCCCCCTGCCCTGCCCTCCGCCTCTGGTAACACGAAGGCTGACCTCCTTTTCTGTGAAATCCATAAATCTTTGATAGTAAAAAGATTGAAAGGATATCCCCCTTAAACATTAAATATTAATGGTTTTGAAGGGCAGACTGTGATAATTTCCTTCCTTTTTACCCTAATTTTAGGTTTCTCTATAACAAGCATATTTATTAGCTAAGTTTTTAGTATTCGTTAGCTTTAAAATACCAAAATTCACTTTTGAAAAGAACAAAGATTAAATATAAAATTTCTAGTATCTTTAGTGTGGTTTTTTTCTTTCTTTTTTTTTTTAATTTTATTTATTTATTTGAGAGAGAGAATGAAAGAGAGAGAGCACATGAGAGAGGGGAGGGTCAGAGGGAGAAGCAGACTCCCTGCTCAGCAGGGAGCCCGATGCGGGACTCAATCCCGGGACTCCAGGATCATGACCTGAGTCGAAGGCAGTCGCTTAACCAACTGAGCCACCCACGCGCCCCTTTAGTGTGGTTTTTTTCTGAATTCCACCTTAAAATACTTGAGAAATGACAAAGGCAATTTATTGGTTAAAGTCAGCTAGACTTTGGTTTTTTAAGGAAATAATAGCTTAGTTATCTCTGCTTATTAGCAAAGAGAGTTAAAATGGGCAGTTGAAAATGGTGGCCCTGTTGGAGATGGCGTGTTGGACCTCCACTGCAGCCCAATGAGAGGCTATTAATTTCAGTGCTTATAATTACAAAACTGTGAACTTGATTCTTTTCCTCCCTCTCTCCCTTCCTCCCCATAGACTGCATGTGAACTAGAGAGAGTTGGGGCTCCTACCTTGGTGGTTTATTGACATCCTTATCTAGTGATTTCCAGTAATCCAAGAGGTGGCCCATTAAATGTTACGTGGTGTAGCAATATTTGAAAGTACTATACAGAAATGAGATGTTTTTATTAACATTCTCTTAAATGTAAATAATGGTATCATCTCTTTTTCTTACCCTGTTTATAGTTCTGGACCATTTTAGGCATACAAAAAGAGAGATCCTCTCAGCACTTAGAAGTTATTGAAGGAACCAGGGGCGCCTGGGTGGCTCAGTTGTTAAGCGTCTGCCTTCAGCTCAGGTCATGATCCAGGGTCCTGGGATCGAGCCCCGCATCGGGTTCCCTGTTCAGTCGGGAAGCCTGCTTCTCCCTCTCCCACTCCCCCTGCTTGTGTTTCCCCTCTCGCTGTGTCTCTCTCTGTCAAATAAATAAATAAAATCTTAAAAAAAAAAAAAAAAAGCTACTGAAGGAACCAGATACTAGGAATGTTTGCTCATACCCAGGACTAATCAAGGAAAGAGGAGGGTTGTTGCTGGGGACAGTCGGACAGCAGAGAACAGGGAAGTGAGGAGAGGGTGCTTGAAGGTGGCATCAACAGCAACAGAGTATATATTGGATCACAGGATTAGGATTGGGGTGGGGGCTCTTTTCAGCCCAGTCTTTGATATTGGAGCCTTGTCAAACAAGCCGGACCGTGGGCCCTGCCTGGGTCCTGTTCCTAGTCTGCCTCCAGAGTCTCACTGGGAAATGAACAGAAGAGGTGTAGCAAAGTATCAAGAGTCACATGAGCCTCTAAAAGAAAGGAAGGTGCTGTTTCTATTCTTAGTGCTGAGCCTGTTCCAGCAAGCACAGCAGTTACTTTTTCCCTGGCATTATATGAAGCTGCACTTTTTTTTTTTAGGTGTGTTGGTTTTGTTTTTTGTGTTTTTTGTTTTTGTTTTTTTTTTAATCCGTAATACGGGCTTAGATTCTAAGAGAGTAAAAGCACTTAATGTATTTCCAGGATCATGTTCCTTTTTGGAGAGAAAATTCAGCTACTTTCCATTTACCTTCAGAACTAACTTGGTATTGCTTCTCTACTTACACTGAGCTATTATAAGTAGATAGTTCAGCCGGGTGGGCATTTGGTGCCTGCCTTTAATCTCTCTGCTGTATTCTTCTACATATTCCACGGGTGTACGTAGGGCCATGAAATAATAGGAAAACAAATGTGCTTACCAAATCCTAGGATGCCAGAATCCTAGGATAGCCTTTGAAAAAGATAATCTTAAGACTGAAAAAAATAAAAGGAAATTTTACTTTACCCAGCAGATATTAAACATATGGAACTTATCCTGAGATTTATGAGCCAAAAATATAAATAAATTCAGTGTAGATTGCAGGAGGGTCTTGTTTAGAGCTTGTTCCTGAACACTTCAGGATGCCTTCCCTCGGAGGGCCCTCCCGTGCATCTCTCAGCAACAAGAGGGAGAAGTGATCCTTTCTTCTTCACAGAGTCTTGCCCATCCTCATGCATTTGTATGTTCGAGTGTAAGTTTTCATGTTTGCATGCACGTGTTTTGACAGGTGACCTTGGGAAAGGTGTTGAAAGTGATTGTCGTCATGCGGAGCCTATTCATTGATCGAACAATAGTAAGGGGATATAGTGAAAATGTCTACACAGAAGATGGCAAGGTAAGCATTCTGGAGTCTTTTGTTTCGTTTTCCTTTATTTTCTGTGTCCCAGAACAAACGTAGTAGAGTCCCAGATGAATGACATTAAACACTAGCAGTCACAGCTGAAATGATCAACAAGCATGGTTTATCAGTGTGAAGATGAACGTTTTACAGAAAAACATTTCTCTCTCTCTCCCCTTGCATTTTTCATCAAGCTTCTGCTTTTTCCTTTAAGCCTGATGCCCTTAGTTGAATTTCTAATTTATCACCTTAGACCCCAGTTGCCTCATTAAATGTGTCTTCTGAGGAAATGGATTTCTTTCTTTTTTTTTTTTCCCGCCCAGTAGTACAGCACATCAATAGCCCAGGGTTTGGCATTTTCGGCATTTTGCTTTTCCTAGAACCATGAGGAAAATTCGAGTTACTTTGACACACAACCTGCTCGGGATCTTTTCCTGTGAAACTAACAAGGAGCCCTGAGGAAGTGGCTTATCCTCAGCAGTGCATACTGAACACTGCAGTTGAAAAAAGAGAAGTTCTTTCCATGGGTGATTTGTCTCATAGAAAGTTCACCCATGTGAACCCCTAATTTCTCTTGACTGCACACTGTCCATATGGCTCTGTGGAGAGCATCAGAGGATGCTAATGGGAGCTGACAGCCTTCATTTGTGTTGGCTTCCAGGGTGTAATGAGCGCTCCGCCTGAGATACCCACCTGGATGCACCCCGGCCACTTCGTGCACCAAGCCTCTGTCTGCCCCTCTCTCCTGAGCTTTCCCTTCTCTTCATGAAGCCCATTACAATTTTTAAAGTTTGCTATAGTTCTAGCACTCACCACCCAAAAGCCACATTATAATGAGGATAGAAGATTCTTCAAAAAAAGGTGACAGATGTAGCTTAGCACATAACAGTGTGCTATGTAAGAGCTGTGACCCACAAAGTGATGAGATTTGTGTTTTGAACAAGTAACCCAGCATCTCCACATCCCACACAAGTGTTGTCAACGAGGGAAGCTACTCTTACTTCAAGGACTCTGCCAAGTTCTCGTAGATCTCCCCATTGAAAGCAGAGTGTTCCTCAAGGGGAGATTTCTGTTTTCTTTTTGGAAAAACCAAAGTGTCTTTAGAGCAGCTGTGGAGAATAAAGCACGTCACTGGGGCAGGCTGGTCTTCGTGTGAATGATTTGTGAACCCTAGCGGCCCCTCTCACGGGCAGCTCTAGACGAGTGAGCAACAGCAGAAACACCCCCAGCCAGGAGCCCCCGCCTCACTGGGCCCGGCCGTTTAGGGGTGTCGTTCTTGTCGCCTTTGTTCGAGGTTCACAACTCCTCAGTCACACCTGGTATGAATCACAGTCCTTGCCCTCCAGAGACCCACAAGTGCACTGGGGAGAGAAGGCCGGAAACATAGAAAGCTAAGCAACAGTAGCAACCGTGTGACAAGAGGTATAAACTCAGGAGAGGGAGGAAGCATTCCCTGAAGTTAGATTCTAAGGAGTGAGGGTTTACCTACTTTGCATGATCTCTTTAACTTCGTATTTGCCCCACACGGAAGTGTCCTAACTAAGACCTGTAAAGCAAAGCACTGAGCACTTCGCCACCTAGTTACCACTCAGTAAATAACGAGTACTATTTTTATTCTGCACTTAAAACAAGGGATTTAGAAAATTGTCACATATGTATGCTTCTAGGATTTCTCTCTGGTTATTCCCCCTGAGGTGCTCCCAACCAACCCCACCCCCACGCCCCCACCCCATACCGTGGTTTCATGGGTCAGCCCACAGAGATCACTCCCGACCTGTGTCTAGGTGGCACCTCTCCTCCCCAGGTGCTGCACCTCACCTTCAGCCCGCCCAGAACTCCGCTCACCATCTTCCTCCTGAAACTCAGTTTCTCTCCACTGTTCCTCATCTGGGGTAACTGTACCGCCACCTAATTGCTCAAACTGTCCTTCCCCTCCCCCAAATCTAGTCTGTCAGCGGGTTCTGGTGATTCTCCTGCTTACATCTCTCCCAAGTTGGGCTCCTCCTGCCCGTCTCCCCGTCGTCCAGGTTCTCCTTATTTCTCAATGGAGCAAGTGCACTGGCCACCTCATGCCTCGTCTCCAGTCTTATTTCCCTCCCACAGTCTGTCCTTCACTTGGCTTCCAGAGCGGTCTTCCCAAAACACAAATCCAAGCGTATGATTTCTTGCTTTCACCATCCCCTGTTGCCCAAAACATGCAAGAAAGTTGAATATTAATAGATATTAGACACAAAGCGGTCCATGGTCAAAATGTCTGAGAAACACAGGATTAGAGAAGGTTCAGGAGGTTTCTTTACTATAGAAATTCTTGGAAACTTTAGTTTGCTTTGTGTCCTGTGAATCTCCTAAGAGGAGCATATAGTGTGCGGTATTTTCCTAACTTATTTGAACCCCAAATTCATTATTTCTTCTTTTCCTCTCAGTATATGGTGACACTGGCATTTCGCAGAACATGCTTCTGAAAACCCTGGTTTCTAGAATAAAATCCAGACTCCTTAGCAACACATAGAAATGCCAGGCAGTCTGGCCCCTGCCTTCCTTCCTGACCTCAGCTGATGTCATTCTGTGAGCACGTTTTGTCTTACTCTCTAGCCTTTTGTGCTGTTTGTGGCTCCCACAACTCTCTCACTCACTTGCACCCGCAGTGCCCTCGGCCTGAGATGCTTTGTCCTCCTCGTCCACCTGACACACTCAGCTCTTCCCTTCATCCTGGCTTACTGCCATCCCCTTTCTCATCCTGTCCCCGGTTCCCCGGGGGTCTCTTACACGAGCACGGACTCCAGCTGACAGGCCCCGGTTTGCGTCTGTTTGTGGCACAAAGTAGCCTCCTCCTGAATACATCCATAGCATTTTGACCAATCTTTTTCTAGAACTAGAATTAGTATGTCGTGGTTATTTGTTTACATGTCTATCTTGAAATGAATAAAAACACTAAGAGTACTCTGTATGTTGGCCTGGTAGGCGTCATGATAAGCAAACTTTGCCCACAGTGGTCATCGGGTCCTAGGTTCTGCTTAAATTAGAATCGCTCTCCAGAGAAGGCAACTGAGACCTAGAATGTACAGTGACTTGCCTGCAGTCCCACCCCACCAGGCCTCAGACCTCCATCTGCCAGGAGCACCTCAAGGGCCCAGACCCTGTCCTGTGACGCTGTCCCAAGGAGATGCCGCAGGTGCCTGGAGTGCTGGAGAAGCCCGGCGCTGTGTGGGAGGCGACAGTGGAGAAGCCTGCTTAGGATGTGCCAGTGCTTTAGCTGGAGTGGAAAAGCGGAGAACCAAACACCAGAGACAAAGGCCAAAAGAAGCAGCCGAGAGTGTAGTTATAAGTGCAGAAAATGAAGGAGACACATACGCATGTGCACACGGCGCGCATCTTCCTAATGAGAGATTAGCGTGGGTTCTCTGTTCATCAGAAAGAAAATGAGTGTGTGTCTGGGAACCTGAATTCTGCTACGATTCATATCACAAATGTGATACAGGAAGACTCTTGCTACATTTCACAGCTGCACACATTGGCCCAAGTGGTCAGCAGAGACCCTAAAACAGGGAAGAGCAAGACTGGGAGACCAAGGCGTTTGTTGTGCTAAAGGCACACTAGCCGCGTTTGGCACAGGAGCTCTCCAAACGACCGCTCTGCCCAGAATCGAATCCTAGCCAATTTGATTAGCACCCTCTTTTTTTCAGAGCACTTTACAAAACCATGCAGACATTATTAGTGTGCCACTTTGAGTACCAGTGCTGGTATATGTGAATTTATATATAGTTGTACACATGTAAGCCTTAGGGTAATTAACGTGCTGAAGCGTCTAGCACATCCCAAAGAAAATGTAACCTTTGGAAGGAGCCCCTGGAGCTTGAGGTGTGGTCCTCAAGAACAAATTGCTGCTTGCAGTTCTGCTGTTCCGGACATGCAGGTCTGCATCTGCTGAGCTGGTGCCTGAGCGCTTGCCTGGCGGTGATTTGCTGCAGTCTGAGAGCTCAGCCACTGATACCGTGGGCGTCACTCGGAAAGCCGTGGGCTTGCGGGGGCCTGAACCCAAAGCAGCCAACACCTCCGGAAAGGTTTAATTGTCCCTGTTGCTGCAGTAGTGGCCCGGCGTCCCCTCCACCACCCCACGCCCTGATCTCCAGACCTGGCAGGTTTTTTTCCCCATCAGAATCCCAGCAAGGCTATCACTTTGCACTTGGCAGGAACCACCACCGCTGCCGCCCTCATCGTCTCGCCTCTTTACCTGGGATGCATATTTTTGAGACCAACTCCAGTTGACTAATTCCTCTAATAAAATGTAAAAATGCTTTTAAAACTTACCAACCCGCTACTCACTGTAACCAGGGAGGCACAGAGAGCCATGACTCAGCATGTTAAAAGGCAGATTTGGGTTGAATACCTGGCCATTGTCCTGATTTTATACCCACCAGACTTAACTGAAAAAATGTAAGTGTCTCGGTTGAATCTATCTTATTAGGGGATTTAGGTTATGTTAATGCTATAGCTTCATTAATTACCCCATATCAATAAAAAAGGCAGCTTTTAGCCTCCTAGCAAAAGAGAGGAAAAGAAATAGTGGTATCAAAGGGAACCTTCAAAGACAGCCAGAGCTGTCTCCAGGGTAATTTCTGATCCCCGCATTCTTCCCACTTCAAAGTTGGATGTGTGTGGGGGCGGGGGGGGGGGGGGTCGAGGGGGATGGGGAAGCTTGAATCTGATTTCTCTAATAAGTGTTGGCATCAGCCCCGTTTGATATTAGATGCAGGGAACGTTTTGATTTGTTATAGCCTTTGAAATTGTTCAGACGACCTTCAGAAAAACGTTCTCTTGTTACTTATGGGGGAAGGGGGAAAAGCTGGGGAAGGGGCCTCTGGTTTAATTCGCATGCAGATGGTGCCCAGAGTTGTGCTTTTCAGCAGTTTCTAGTAATAGAGGTCTGTCCTCATCGAAAGTGAAAAGTTGAAGAACAGCAGACCCGTAACACTAGTTCTGTGGTGAGACTTGTTCACTTCCTGATTCTCCGGGGAGGACTGGGCACATTAAGAAGGTGACCAGGTAAAAGTTTATGGTTTTGAAGTTTGGGGAATCGTGGAGAAATGTCCGACCATTGCTGGTTTACGGCCCTCTGCCCCTGCTGACGCATCACCTGTTGACCTTGCAAGGTGAAGATGCTAATAAATCAAAGCTTTAAAAGTTGAAGATCCTTGTGAGGCTTATGAGTTTTATTTGGAATTGTCAGTTTTAGATAATTTGTGGTACCTTGTACTATTTTTTGAAGTGAAGAATTGGTAACTTTCTGAGAAGCTGCCAGGATTTTCACTGGCTGCTAAGCGAATTTCAGTGGTGATGATTGTCACATGAGCGGGCCTCAAAGCAGATTTGTCATGTTGAACTTCTGCAAGAGTGCCACCCCCCGCAACAGCTGCTACCACTTGGCGGGGGGCTCCCAGTCAGCCCTCCTGAATTCTAGCTGAAAGGCGGTCTTCCTCCCAGGTTGAGAGCTGGGCCTCTGGAGGCAGAGCTGGTTTTGGATTTTCTACCACATACTCATTGTGTGATATTGGACAGGTTACTGAACTTCTCTGAGCCTCCATGTCCTCTTCTGGGAGGTGGGGATGGTTTCATCATCCTCGTCCAGATCTCTGGGAGGATTCCAAAAGCTGACACAGCTCCGTGTCCTTGGGCTCTGTGCTCAGAGTGGAGGCTGCTTGTCCTTCTCCCTCTACCCCTCCCCCCGCTCATTCTCTCTGTCTCTCTCTCAAATAAATAAATAAAATCTTTAAAAGGGAGGGAGGGAGGAAGGAAGGAAGGAAATGCAGGTGTAGGGCAGGCCACATGCATGGTCCTCGATGAATGGTGTCTGCCCTTGCTGGATGTGCAGCCGTGCCGATGCCAGTGGGCATTGTCATAGCTGGTGAGCCCCTGCCTTCTGATACTGGGCCACTCTGATTTTTCGTTTCAGTAAGTCAATTTGATCGTCACCATTCTCATTGGTTGAGAGGAGCTTTGACGTCTTGATGTTTAACCTGAGAACAGATATGTCTGTGCTAGGGCAGTTGGTCATCTGTGGGGTTGGTTTCCATTTTACCCAAGAACAGAGCACATTCCTACCCCTAAAATACTCATTCCAGTCCTCAGAGTCCCAGAGGCTACTCCGAAGACTGCAGATTCAGCCACCAATTACCATAAGGTTGGCTTTTCCATTTTAAGATCTTTCTAACGCTTTCCCAGAATACTGAGAGGTGCTTTACTTTCTTTCCCTGACATTGTAGTTCAGAATAATTTCCCGTTCATCAGGCTGAAAGTTTACAGCTTCCAGAATGCTCCTTTTTGAATATCACAGCCAGAAAAAAAATTGGTAGCCATGTCTGCCTTTGCGGTAAATAAGCTAAAGCTAATAAATATTCACTCGGATCAGTCCGGGCTCCCTGAAATGAATTTCTGAAATCTTCCTGGCCCTGAGGAGAGGCAGGGCACTGACTCCAGCACGCTCCCTTAAATGGCTTTCTTTGGCATAAATCTAGCAGAAAATCAAGTACAAACTGCCTGCTGTGCCTTCGCAGCAATAGGGGAACCCATTGTTACCGGCTCCCTTTCTTACCCGTGTGCACCTGGTACGTAGGGCGTATTGTCCGACATCCTGCTGTCCCAGATGGCTGCAGCTCTTCCCTAGGGTCCTGAATTATCTATTTAAACCGCCTTTCAAAAAGAGCAGCACGCTCACTTTGAATGAGCGTGGTGTGTTTTGAGAAGCCACAATTAGGCTGGAGAGTCCATCTCTTAATTAAACTTGTGCGTATTTCTCCCTGGATGATTTCTCTATTAAAACATTCTGCCGATGCTGAAGAGTTGGGTTTGTTTTCTTTTTTTTAATAATTTTCTCTTTTAAATAAAAATTAACTTTTCGGTTTATATGCAGCTTCTTCCTTTTCTCTTTTTCCATGGCCCTGTGTTTATGTCTTGGTCTGCCTATGCATGTTGGGAACAGGCAGGAAGGATAAACAGTGGAGAACCTCAAAAGAAACAGCTGCCGGCTTCCAAAGGAAGGAGACCTGTGTTAGTTCCAAGTTGAGACACTGATGTTACTCTTCCTAAAATTTAGATTTAGAATCTTTGGCATCTCCCTGTCATCTTGGCAGTGATTTGGCAGAACTAAGAGATACAAAAAATCATTCTTATTCATTCTGCAGTCTCTGAATAATCTTTAAGTGCTGCATTTTTTAAGCCCTGGGCCCCACTGCGGCACTAAGGAACAGTAGAAACCTGCCTTCTCCTCCCCAGGATGACCGGCTGGCCAGCAGTTTCCTTCAACAGAATTGACAGTGTGGGGCATTCATACCATATGAAGGAAACCTTCTTTTGAGGTTCCCTTCAGAGTTATCTGGAGGTAACATGTCACTTTTCCCCCCTACAAATTGCTAGCCTAGCAAATTAAAATTCTAATGCCTAAAGATTTTTTTTTTTAATCAAGTGGCTGAAGGGGGTGGTGGAGTACAGTGACTGAAAATTGATACCACCTTTCTGAAGAGCAGTTTAGCCAGAGTAGAAGGAGAGGGGTCAGTTAGGGGCTTCTCTGGAAATCCAGGAAGGATGTGGTAACACGAGAGGGGTTAGGGAGAGGTGGACCCATTCGAGTGAATGTTCAGGCAGAGTTCTTCCAGTACTTTTCCTGGGCTTGGATCTGCTAACCCTGGCCCTCCCCAGCAGGAGCCCCACAGAGGTCCAGGGGGACCCTCTCAGAATCCTCTAAACCTCCTCTGTGGCCTGAAAGTTCTCAAACACAGTGCAGTGTACATTGAACTCATTCTGAACAGGAAGAAGCCAGGGAGAAGTGAGTGTGTGCCTGTGCACAGACCACCTCTCAATTCCAAGGGCCATTTTCAGAAAACCAGGTTTTGGTGTTTTCCTCAGAACAAAAACAGAACTCCAAACTGCCCCATGTCAAGTGCAACACTTCACTTCCTGTCTTCTTAGAGGAATCTTCCCGTGTGATTGCTTCTCATGTTCCCAGGGGCTCCAAAATCAATAACACAACCTATAGGCCATACAGTCGTATCTCAGGTTTCTACCTTGACCACTGGCCAACCCCAAAGGCAGGTTCCAAGAGGCCCATTGAGCAGGTGTTTCAATTTGTTCCTCTGTGACTCATATATTACAGTTGACTTTTTAGCACCTGTGGGACATACTGACTCTTCTAATCTGCACTGTCCTTAAGCTATCTCCCAGCACTGTATTGGGGATAATTCTGTTTTTGCTCTACTTAATTTATAAGTATAAACTCACAGAACAATGAGAATGCATTGACTTACCATACAAAATTGTAAAACAAAAATCCTTTTGGTTAGATTAAGCCACTGACATGCTCTGTGCAAGACCCAGTGTATCCCGAAGAGGATGAACCCGGTTGACTCCAAGCCCTAGCCACGACCTCCAGTTTCCTCATTTGTGAGGCAGGGGTGCCCTCGATCAAGGGTCCCTGGCCTGACCAGCCATCACAGTTATACCACTGCTTGGGGAGCAAACAGACAAACAGATGAACAGATTCTCAGGCCCACTGTAAACTTACTAATTCAGACACTCCAGGGGAGGAACCAGGGAATCTGTATATCAAAATACAAAAAAAAAAAAATCCCCCCAGCAGCTTCTGATGCCAGCCAAGTTTGACCATCATCAGGGGAGACCATCCATAAGAAGCCATGGACAACTGAATGGCTCTGAACCATTGTCTCATCACCTGGAAAGTAAGGTTGCTAGTGGGACCAGCCGCATTGGTTTGTTCTAGGGATTAAATGAGCGAGTGCGTGTGGAGGGCCCCGTGTGACAACTGGCGTGGAGCAGGTGCTCAGGAGCTGGTAGCTGCTAATTTTTCTCCACTCAGCAGGGACCTGCTGATGCCTGTGACATGCTAGGTCCCACACCAGGACAACATAAGCAAAAGAAATAAAGTACCAGGTGGTTTTAAGTGCAATGAAAATCTCAAATTTTTGAAAAGATAATGAGAATCAAGACGACAACAGGTATGGAAATAATATTTTAGACAGGGTAACTGGGAAATGACTCTCTAATAAGGTGACGTTTGAACTAAAGAAAATTAAGAGGAGCCATGTAAGTGTTTGTGGGGAAAAAGAAATCCATGCAAAGGCCCTGAGGCAGGATTGACGTTGGCATGCAAGAGAACCATGGTAGGAGTCAGGTTAGAAAAGGGAGCCAGGGGCTCCGCTCATGTGGCCTTGGATGCAACAGGTGTCTCACACTCACTTCCCTATATCCCTTCTGTTGGTTTCCTTAAATCACTGACAGGTTGCGAGAGAAGAAATTCAAGCAGGACATTTAAGATGCACATGCAGTGCCACGATTCTGTTATTCCATAATTATGTTTATTATTTCAAGCTGATGGGTGTAACAGTAGTTACAGCGTCATCTCTCGAAGTCCACAATTCTAAAATTGATGCTGATGATGCTTTATCTCTTTCCCCCCAGCTTGATATATGGTCCAAATCCAACTATCAAGTGTTCCAGAAGGTAAGCTTTACTTTTTGCTTCTTACTCAAGAGTCAGGAAGGGAAATACGAATGCTCGAAGGTATAAACATTGGTCTTAAGTTAGAGCCTTTTTTTTTAAATTTTATTTTATTATGTTAATCACCATACATTACATCATTAGTTTTTGATGTAGTGTTCTATGATTTCATTGTTTGTGTATAACACCCAGTGCTCCATTCAATACGTGCCCTCTTTAATACCCACCACCAGGCTAACCCATCCCCAGAAAAGTGAAAAAAGCCAGACACAAAAGGCTGCTCACAGTATGATTCCATTAACATGACATTCTGGAAAGATAAAACCTTAGAGACAGAAATCAGATTGGTGGTGTCCAGGGGCTGGGAGTCAGGGGAGGAGATTGTGCCCAAAGGGGCAAGAGGAAATGTGTCGGAGTGATGGGAATGCTCTGTATCTTAATTGTGGTGGTGATTACACATTGTATTATGTTCCCAAACTCATGGAACTAATATACCTACTCTAGAGGAAACTGTGCTTTCCTTCCTGTGTAGGGAAGACCCCAGTTCTTCCCTCCTGTGTTTGTCTCCAGTGAATCTCCATTACTGTGCACATAAAACAATTCACTTCTGCTCCTCCTGGTCACTGAACATATGGGGGTTTGCCCCACAGTAACAGGACACAAGCTGGGTGTCCTCCAGTTTAACAGCCTGACACGATCTCCCCGGAGCTATAGACCCCAGTCACAAGTTCCATTATCTGTGCTTCTGCCCTCGTGGCAGTAGATCAGAGGTTCCCGTGCCCCCTCCTCAGGCTCTATCAGTTCGCCAGAGCAGCTCCCAAAACCCGGGGAAATGCTTACTTAGGTTTACCGGTTTATTAAAGGACATGATAAAGGATACAGATGAACCGCCAGACGGAGAGATAAGATACATAGAGCAAGATGTGGGAGGGCCTCAAGTGCAGGAGTTTTGGTCCCCATGGAGTTGGGGTGCATCACTCTTCCGGCGTTGTGTTGTCTAGTCTGGAAGCTCTCTGAACCCCATACTGCTGGGATTTTATGGAGCCTTCCTCATATAGACATAACCGATCATTAACTCAATTTCCAGCCCCTCTCCCCTTCTCTGGAGGATGGGGGATGAGACAGAAAATTCTAAGTCTCTGATTACCCTAATTATGGCTTGGTCTTTCTGGTGACCAGCCCCCATCCAGGTGCCCACCCAGAGTTGCCTTGTTAGAACAGGAGATGCCCCTAGTGCTCTTATCACTTAGGAAATTATGAGGGTTTCGGGAACTCTATGCCGGGAACCGGGGGTAGAGATCAAGCAATATATATATTCTTTTTCTGTTATCTTGCACCTACAAAGGGTGAATTTTGCTGTATGGAAGTCATACCTTAAACAAAAACAAAAAGCAGAGGCTTTTGAGTTGTTCCACGCTCACCCAGTTTCTAAGCTCAGTTTGTCAGAGCCCCATGGTCGACACAGGTGCCTAGTATGGGCTGAGGGAGGCGGGCTGGCCCTGTCCTCACCCCTCCCCCCCCCCGCCACTCTACAGTCTGGTCACCTCTTTTTCTGATGTCAGGCTTCCTCATGAAATGCTATTTTGGGGAGCTGTCAGAAGAAATGTGACTAGAGGAAATCCTCTCCCGGCTTTTGATGGTAGAAGGGGCCCTTCCCCAGAGCAGCTCAGCACCTGGAGCTTACAAGGGCTCCCACCACCCTGTAGCACCCCTGCAGGAGGCCAGCTCCCCTGCAGGACACCAGCTGCTTTCGTCTGCTCTCATCCCGCCTCTGTCTCTGCTTTCGTTGCTTGTAATTTCATTCGGTGCCCCATCCAGCTCAACAGCGTGAGCCAGGCGCTCTGCTAGGTGCTAGGAATACGAGGGGAAACCAGACAGACAAGGAGGCACAAGAAAGAAGGAAGGTAACTCCAGGGTGATAACCAGGGGGCTGCAGTTAAGAACAACAGGAGGGGCCTGTCACGTTGGGGCAGTCACAGGAGGCCTTTGTGGGGCAAGACCTAAACCGAGACAGGCTGCTCATGAGAAGGAACCGGTCACTTGAAAAGCTGCGGGAGGAGATTCCCAGGCAGTGGCGGCAGCAGCCCACCAAGCTTGTGCTGAGGAGCACACATCCTAAGAGCCGTTGGAAGCCTGTGTGATCGGAGCGTGCAGTGGGCCGGGAGGGAGTGCTGTGGGGGACAGGGGCAGAGCCGCGGGTGGGCAGGGGCCTCTAGGTCCGGGGACAGAATTCGGATTTTATGTGGTGCAGAGGAGGGACATGACTTTGAAAGCTGAGCCCAAATCGTTCCACTTCAGTAATAGTTATGTCTAAGGAATGCCAGGTAGCTTAGAGAGAAAGCATAGAACCTTTTTTTTTTTGAGGGGAAATTCACATAACACAATTCCATGACTTTCATGGTATAGTGGAATATCCCCCCATCTAGTTCCAAAACCTTTTCATCACCCCAAAAGGAAACCCCATCCCCATAAAGCAGTGAGCGTAGGGCTTGTGTATCAAAGCAGCATAATGGACCAGCTCTGTAATGGTGTTTACTACATCACTTCACATTGTTCCCGGACCTTCTGCATGAAAGGCTGGGCCAAGGACAGATGCCTACTGCTGGGAGAGGAGTCTGAGGCCCAATGCCACACATTTAGAGGGCCTACAAAAGCATTAAAATTCCACAGTCTGATCACAGTTAAATACAACATGCTGTCCTGGGTTCGATCCTGAGACAGAGAGATTAATGAGAAAATGAGCTTAGTCACTAGTAAGTAACCAATGTTGGTTTCTTAGCTGTGCCGAAGGAGCCGGGTCATGACAGGTGTCAGCAGTGGGGGAAACTGGGCAAGGGGTACATGGGAGATGTGTGTACCATCTTGGCAACCTTTTTAGTCCAAAATTAAGTTTACCTTAAAAAGAAAATCTTCATCTTGACTCTTCTAACACTCCTCTACCCAGCTGAGCTAGCGAGAAGCATAGTAGAGAAAATCAGTCCAGAGCCTGAAGGGAAGGTGTATGTGGTCATAGGTAGGCTTTAGGACAGGCAGCTATATTTGAATCTTAGCCTTCTCATCTAAGTGACGATACCTGAGGCATTTACTTGCTCGGTATGCCTGAAGTCTCAGCCTTAAATGCTAATAGCTTTGTCCATGCTGGCTGCTTTTGTTGTGTTTTTCCCTAGCAGCTGGTGGAAAAGCATTCTAAAGAGAAAGAACACTGGTCATTATCGGCATCATATTTCACTTTAATAGTGAGAAACATTAAAGCAGTTTTGGGTTTTTTGCCTGGTTTATCTCTGTGTCCTCTGTGGTAGTGCAATGAGTTACCTCCTTCGGGCCCCACAAAGGCAGGCCGTGGCTTCGGGGAGCCATGAGCATTGCAGACCCTCACTGGTCTTTTAACAATGGTCCGATTTCCATTCAAATACCCTTTGTGAGGGAGGGGCTTGCACATGCTTGCCTTTGCATAGATACTTTTTTTAATGTTCTGTGTAGTATTAAGTATTTTTAAATGCAAGCAGAAAGTTTATTGGGAAGTCATAAAATGTGTGAAACACAGATTTGGTGAAGCAGAGATGTGGAGAGACAGTGCTATATTTTTATTCTACCTCCCCTAAAAATAACCTGCCAAGCGCTCTATGTATTTGTTTAAAACTACAAACACACACTGAAGCAGCGTTTAAAATCTGACATTAGTCTAGTCGGAGAGACGTGGGCACACCGGCCAGTTCCTCCCTTGCAGTCTGTGTGGTGGGTCTGAAGCAGTGAGAGGGGGTGCGTCTGTAGGGATGGGGATTTTACCTCACCTGCTGAATGGCATGTTGTCTGTGTGTGGGCAGAGCCCTTTCTGGAAACCCTTCATCATCCCTACCTTCACCTATTTTTAACTAAATGGACTTGACCTGATACTGACCTGTACTCAATTAAAGAACCACAGTTTGGGGACAGGAGAAGTGCTCTCTGATTACAACTAACTACACGTAATGAAGTCCTTTTCCTGTTCCAGGGGCAGGTAAGAGTCAGAATTAAGGAGTCTTCTGTCTTCCCTACTAAAACATTGTCTTTTTGCTGCCAAAGTAAAGAATATATTGGAAAATAATGTAGTACAGAATTAAACTTCCGTCTTTTATCAGTAAAGCTTTCAGCTAATCATCATCACACGGAAGGGGTTGGGTATTTTGTTTAAAGAAAAAATCATGCACTTGCGGAAGATGCAGGTGGGGAGGATGGAGGACATGTAGGGGTGGCCTCACAAAGAGGCAGAACGGTCTGGTGCTTATTTTTCTGTTAGTCTCAGGCCGCATTGGTGGACAGAGGACAGACCGCACAATGAAAACAAAGCTGGGACCACTTGTCTATTGCAGACTCTGGAAGCCTGGTACGATTTATGGGACGGTGGGCAGCATCTCCAACTCAAAATGCCAAAAGAGAAGGATTAGCGGGCAGCATTTCTAAACTCTGCTTTTTAGTCTCAGCTTTTTCTCAGAATCCTATTTGCTTCTTGTCCACCCACTTAAATTTTGGTTGTCCTGATGGATGTTACTGGTAGCGTTTCCCACAAAGACACTGAGAGCACTGTGGTAAACATTCCCCCCTGCCTGTCGGTCTGCTCACACCCGTGCACGGAGACTGGGGAGGGGAGGCCTAGTTGTCTGCATTGTCTGAAAGGTTCAACCTGAAACAGGAGGGAAGCGCATTTTCAGACCACAGTAACATGGTCAGGGAGGAACCTTGGTCATCGGTAAGAAGGGATCTCTCCAGCCGAACACAGTTCCCGAATGTGCTCACCATGGCGATCAGAGACGGGAGTCCTGGGCCCTCCCCGTATGGTTGGAGGAACGCTCTCCCGGCATTGCTCTGGTGTAGAACCCCAGAACTTCCTTTCTTTGGCGTTCATTATGTGGTCGCAATTACTACGGACTGTGTGTGTTTCCCTGCCCACAAGCACAGCGGTAGCGGCCGCGGAGAGAGGCCTGCTGGGAAGGTGGGACCCCTCCCAGCTCTTTTCCCTCACTGTG